GATCCTGCAATGCCATATGTGGTGACTGATATTTTAGTTTCAAATAACTCTGCTCCTCCAGTTTTTCCTGCATTACTAATCCCTTTCTTGGGCTTTTCTAGTCCATGGATCCAAAGTTCCACTAAAAATATATGGCCAGATTCACCAGAGCGGCAAAACATACTTGGTGCCAACTTCTATAATTGTTGTTGCTTTGCTAAGACACCATGACCAAAAGCATTGAAAAGAAGAAAGTATATTTTGATTGATGCTTTCAGAAGTTTAGAATACATAATGACAGTAAGTCATGACAGCAGTTGTCTGGGGCAGAAAGCTGAGAGATTACATCGTCAACTGCAAACCCAAATCAGAAAGGGTGATCTGGAAGTGGGACAAGACTATGAACTCTCAGAGTCCATCCCCAGTGACATACTTTTTCCAGAAAGGAACCTCTCATACTGGTGCCATAACATTATCCAAAGAAAGCCAACTGTTGAACTACTGAAGACTACAGGGGCATTTCTCCCCTAAACCACCATTTTATCACATGATGTTCTTAACCATTTAAGAATATGTTGTCGTGCATTTTTGAAATTGAGAAAGAATGTATTTTGATATAAGAATGCATATTGCAAAATTCTGTGGACAAAAATAGATGACTTTATTAATAAACTAAGGTGTGGAGTCACAGCATATTATTGAAAGAACTCTCTCTGCTTTCATGCCTTTGTATAACAAAAGGTAATTCGTGGTTGGGCAGTGGTGGCCCACACCTTTAGTCACAGCAATCTGGAAGCAGAGGCAGGCAGATCTCTGTGATTTCGAGTCCAGCCTGATCTACAAAGCTACACAGAGAAACCCTGTCTCGAAAAGAGAGAGAGAGAGAGAGAGAGAGAGAGAGAGAGAGAGAAACAAAACAAGCAAGCAAACAAACAAAAAACCCAAACGTAATTCCTGATTGTAATTGGCAGATTCTGATGCCTTTAAAACAAGATACATTAAAAAAAACAACAACAATAATAATAACAAAAAACTCCTAACTTTCCTATCCTAACTTTAATGTCAAGTGTTTTTTTATTGGCTTGTTTACTCCGTTTCTATTCCTCCCCCCCTTTATAATCATTTGTTCACAGTTAGTATAGGAGATGGCCTCCCATTAAAAAATGAATATTAAGGAATTAAACTATCAGTCTGAATTAGACACCAGGTTCTTTCTTAACTTCTGAATGAAATTCCATCAATCAATCAATAACTTAATGTTTAAAATTAGTAAAAACGAGGTTTTCACTGGCTCTTCTATAATATAGACATTCTAAAGTTATATACAGTACATAATATAACATAATATGCTATAAAATGCTACTAAATTATTTCTTAATATAAACTTCACAGATATTTATATAGTAACATAGCATTTTTATTAATTTTCTTTTTTATGTTAAGGTATTTAAATATGATAGTTGTTAATATTGAGTAGAATTTGCCGGCCATTTTCTTGCTATCATATTCATGTTGAACTTTTCTTTTAGCTCTAATTATTAGCTTCAAAAATTTTTCTATGTTGCTTTACTTTGTAACTTCATTAGAATATTGCAGGTTATATTATATTTTCATATTTTCTATTCTGCTACATGCTTAATATAAGCATTATGACATAAAATTATTTTAAAATGTGTCAGTTTGTTCATCTAAAATTTTTTTCTACTAAACTAACAGCCTAAGTGGAATGAATGTAAATCTCAAAACTTTATCATATTTTTGTGTGCTTTCAATAAATATCCTGATATATTTAATATGAGACTATATTATTTAGTTTTTAAATATTAACAAAATAAAATCATCCTTGTGAACTATTTGTTTTATGCTTTATATTTAATGTAACTCTTGCCTTGAATTATATTTCTGTGAGATTTATATGAAAATATTTTGCTCTTTATTATTTGTCTATTTTTTCCAGATAAACATGCAATTTTAAATTATCATGTTACATCGGTGTCAAATAATTCAAATGGATTCTTCAATTGTTAATTTGTAGGTAACTTTCATATAATCAATGTATATGTTTAAATTTTATTTCTTTGTTTCTTTATAGAAATTTGTGGATTCCAGATTTATATAACTTCTGTATGCTCCATAATATGTATTCTGGATCTGTTTGTTGCTGTTATATTTACATTGATCTTCATCCTAGGAACTTTGGTTAACTATTCTATTTTTATTTTAAAATATCCATATTACTGAATTGTGATATTAGACTAATGACACTTTTGTTTCTTCAGGCACACTCAAATTTGTGAGTCATTTGTAAACAAAGGGTGTCTTGTGACTTTCCTTTATGAATATAGTTCATCTGAATTTAATGTGGTTTAATGGTTTAAGAAGTTTGTGTGTCATTTTCATTGAAATTTGAGCAATTTGGAAAAATGATCTTACTTCTTCCTGAAATGTTGGAAACAAATGTTCACAACTACAAACATCTAAGTCTATTGAAACATGTAAGTTTGCATTACTGACCTATTACAGAGTTCATGTAATCTCTTTTATCTGTGTTTCTATGATCTATATTAGAACAAACCTTTTTAATTCTCCTATTATTCACTTTTATTTTTCCTTCCATTTGCTTGTTTAATCAATTTTACAGAGACTTATCAATTATATTTATTTTTTCCATATGTGATGAATAACTGATTTGGTGAAATTTCACTAGACTTTTTCCTTTTATTTAATACTCCTTTTCTCATGCAGCCACTTAATTTTGTTGAATTTAGGTTGACTGTGAAAACATTTTGCTATAATTTCCAAGTACAGTGGCTGAAAAAGCCCACTAATCTTCCTAGCCTGCATCTTAAATCATATTAATGTCACAGAGCATAACGTACATGACTGTATTGTTCTAAAAATTGACACATTGTCTATGATTAAGCAATTAAGATATTGGAAACATAAACAGTAGCTTATATTATTGTCTGTGACTTAGATAAAATCTTCAGGCTTCTTTTACAATCTGCAAAATTACTTTTCAATTGATACAAAAGTATCAATTTACACTTAAAGATTTTACAGTTCAGTTTGATTTCATTTTATTTTTCATTTGTTCACTATCTCTGTCTCTTGCTGTGTGTGTGTGTGTGTGTGTGTGTGTGTGTGTGTGTGTGTGTGTGTGTGTGTGTGTGTGTGTTTCTATAAGACATACTTGAGATGGTTTCTCTTTCCATAATGTGAATTCCTAGTGCTGAACTCAAGTTCTCAGTTTTAGCAGCATTGAAAACAGGTTTCCTTACCCACTGTGCTATTTTGTCAGCCCTCTTTTTCCTCTTTAAAATGTCACAATGGCAAGAAATTTATGTTATCAATACCCTGAAAGGTGAGCTAAAAGGATCCTGATTTTTAAGCTACACTGGGAATCACAAGCACCCAATTAGACTAAACTAAACTAAATAAAGGACAACAACAACAACAAGAATGCAGTCAGCCTTTCATTCTGTACACAAATATCGATAAATTTAATAAATCATCAGAATCATTTGAAAAACACATTATCTGTATAAATTAATTTACAATTACTTTCAGGATGTTTATATCACATGAGGTATAAGTTAAGTAATCAACAAGTTATTTTAATAATTTTGGAAGAGGTCCCCAGTCAACATGCAAATGCTAGACATTTAAAATGAATGGACAGCTCTACCCCTGTGTATATATACATATGCATAGCTTTGTTTCATCTTGGCTGTGATGTGAGAAAATCTAATTTATAATGATTTCTGGAAAAGGTGCTGGATAGCTAACTCCAATTATTTTTGAAAATTTTTACTTGCTAAACACATAAAAGAGTGAATTATGTGGTTCTTGAACTTTCTTTGTGATAGATAGATAATGACCAGAACTGATTATTATTCTGCCAATATAATAGCTGAATTACCTATATATATTTTAAATTTATTGCCTGGTTTAATTAATATCTGGTTTAATATTTTCAGTTTATATGTATTACCATTTTTGTCATTAAATATTTATGGCTAATTTTTATTATATGTTCATCATTAAAGCATATCTGAAGTTTCCACCTATAATACATTAATAGTCAGTGGAGCATATATTTGTTGTTTGATATTCATGGCAAATATTTTAGTTAACATTAGTTAATATAATTCAATACTTGGATCATTTTATTTGTGTATTCCTGTCTTTGGAAAAATTACTAGGGAAGTTCTCCTTATTCCTGGTAATTTAATTAATATCTTTTTCTCCATTTACCCCACAGTGGCATCAGTCTGATGACTCACCTGCCTCCACCTCACAAGTTCTGAATTGCAGTCATGGACCACTGCCTTATCCATGTTTTTATAAAAGTTATGTTTATCAAATGAGAAAACAAAACAATGCATACAATTTATTGTTTGAGATGTCTTGTTCATTAAGTTCTTACTGACCATTAATATCTTCCCCAGGTCTCTTTCAGTAAGATTTGTATGCTCTGATTTTTTCTATATTTTTCTTAAACATTATCATTCAAATTCTAAAGAAAAATTACTTCGTTTGACATTGATTTTAGAAATCAATTACCTTTAAGTAAGTAGAAATCACAGTCTCCAGTAGTGTCTGTACTTTATACTCTAACCAACAATTGTATTTATTTGGTGTTTATTTTAAAAAGCAAAATAAAAGATTCTGGCATTCTATGCTGGCTTCATTTGTTTTTAGTTCTTTCACCTTAAGGATATATTGAGAACATAATTTTGCTGTCTTCTTTGGAAAAATTTATTGGCACTAGTCATGATGGCTATCCTTAGTAATTGTGGTCTTTTAATTTTCCTCTAAATTTTCAAGATATTTTTGTAAGTTCCTTCTTTTAAAATTATAAATTTATATTTTAATGTATGTTTTCTTAAATTTAGATGTGATCTTCCCAATCACTTTAATTTGTGATTTAATTGAAATTTTGAAAATTTTTAGACATCTGATTGACCTCTGATTTTTATGAGTGTATTCAAGAGTCTGAATTAAGAACTGATACATCTGACCTCCTTGTGCTTACCACAGGCTGTGTTCTTACACTGACTGTATAGAAAAGGGGGCAGTATAAAACTACCCCATATATACCTCGGCCTAGGCCATTGTGCCTGCTTTGTATTGTGAATAGAGAGACTTGGAAAAAAAAAGAACTGATACATCCATTTAAATCATCTCCATTCTTAGACGGGCATATTATCTATTAAATATAATATTTACACCTATAATACAGATCACTTAGAATTATAAATAAGCAGACTCAACCTCACACTTTCTATATATGTGCTAGATTATCGAAGGAGGCAGCTATATAGTGTTAGAAAGAGGAGAGAAACAAAGTCTTAGTCTGACTTCAGCGGGCTGACAACCACAGTATATTGTACAAAGACAGTACATCTGTATTATATTGATAATTTCACAGTAAGTTGGCTTCTTTGTCTCCCACTTTTGTAGATGGCCAAAATGACTATGCAGGAAAATGGAATATGGCTTCTGAGATACAGCAACATCTAAAATAAGGGCTAATAGTATCAGTATAAGGATAAAACACCTTTGGTAGAGTGTTTACCTAGCATTTGAAATGATCTGAATTCTATTCCCAAGATGGGATAAAGCCAGGCATGAGAAAAGGACAATGCAGCAGACTCAGCCACCTGAGCCAATGGGACCTTGGGAGGCTGTATAAAGGCAGGTCAACTTCCTTAATAAATGAGTCTACAGCATGCTCTGCAACTTACTGACTCCAAGTGCCTGAGTTGTCAGTGTGCATCTTCTTAACCCTTTCCATAAGGGGTGTCTTTCTTCTTACTCACTCCCCCAAGAGTTGTCAGAGCACAGTTACCTACAATATTCAGTGAAGTGTGACAAAACATCTCTTTTATTCCTCTTATTTATTACATCCTGACTGCAGTTTCCCCTCTTTCCACTCTTCCCAGTCCATTTCCCCTTAAAAAAAGAGCAGGCCTCTGGAGATATCAAGCTAACATGTCATAATAAGACAAGGTACAAACTGTCACAGCAAGGTTAAATGATGCCACCTGTTAGGAGGAAAAGCAGGGCTCATAGTATATCACAGAGATAAAAATCTTGTTTTTAATTTGTAAACATTTTTATTATATTTATGTATCTATTACACCTGTCAGAATGGCTAAGATAAAAAATGCAAGTGACAGTTGGTAAGATGTGGAGCAAGGGGAACACTCCTGCGGTACTGGTAGGAGTGCAAACTTTTCCAGCCACTTGGAAATCAATATGGCAATTTCTTAGAAAATTGGCAGTCAATCTATCTAAAGACTCAACTGTATCTCTACTTGGCGTATACTCAAAGGATGTTTTGCTATACCTCAAATACATGCGTGCAACTATGTTAATAGCAACTTAATTTTTAATAGCTAGAAACTGTAAACAACCTAGATATCCTTTAACTGAAGAATGGGAAAAATGTGGTACATTTACATAATGGTGTATTACTCAGCTGTTAAAAAGAATGACATCATGAAATTTGCTTGTAAATGTATAGAACCAGAAAAGATCATCCTGAGTGAGGTAACCCAGACCAAGGAAAACAAATATGCCAAAGATAGTATCAACTTATAAGTTGGACAATTTTACAACCCACAAACCCAGAGAAACTAAGTAACAAAGAAGGCTCAGGGTGGGATGCATGAATCTCACAGTGTTGTGAAATAGAATAGACATCGTCAGTGAAAGGGGAGAGGGGTCTGGATACAGGTGCGGAAATGAGAACAGGAGTGATCAGGTTGGGGAAGGATGGATGATGAGAGTACTATAAGACACATCTGGAATCAGGGAGCTAATGATGCACAGATTAAGATACATGGGACTTGGTTAAATATAGGTTAATTTTATTTGGGAGAAGTCACTTACAAAAGAAACTGATGACCCACAATATGCTGCTCCTAGGATCCACACCAGGCTACTCTCTGTGACCTGGCCAGAAAAGAGAGTGATCTGGGGTCCAGGACACCAGACCTAGCATTCCCCTGTCACTTTGGCACCTGTGAACACAACCAAATGGGAGTGCTCAGTGAAGACATGATGGATATCTCACTACAGGGAGAATCTTCTGGACAAGCTAAAAACCTAGGGAATAGAATCTTCAGGAATCTATAGAGTGACCATAGCTAAGACTCCAAGCAATGAGGGAAATAGAGCCTTAAGTGGCCATCTGCAACTAGGCAAGACTTCTAGTGGAGGGATTGGGACACTAAGCCAGTCACAAAACATTCAATCTACAATTTTTCCTGACTGCAAGAGGTGCTGGTGCAAAGTGACAAAGAAATTATGAGTCACTAAATAATGACTGGTCCAGCTTGAGACCTATACCATGAAAGGGAGCCCACCCTTGACAAAACCTTTAAGTTTCCCTATTGTGGTGGGATTAGTCTTTACTACATAAACTACAACTCTTAGCAGTACATTAAAACTCATTTTAAAGTGATATCTTTTTAGAATTACTACATTTTAAAAATATATCAGTAAATGAATCATTTTTTTACAATGTATTGTAGCTGAGGAAGAGGATGAGAAAACTCAATGACTTGAATTCTGATCTCCAGAATCCATATAAATGCTCAAAGAATTCAATATCACAAGTATCTCTAAGACCACTGAGCCTGGAAGAGAAGTGGAACACTGTCTTACAATTGGTAAAAAGACAGTCTAGACACTACACATTGTCCTCTCGCCTCTATACCCACATTCTAGTCTGCACTCACACATACACAATACATACATACTATAAATACACACATAAAATTTAGTAGTCTTTCATTGAAAGTTTATGCCATTAATGAGAATGTCAAAGTACATAAGGGAAAAGCCCATGAGACCTCAACATGACATAAGGAAACATAGTCAACTGAAGAGAATTGGAAGAGGGAGAGGTGGTCTTCTTTAGGAAGAGCCCATGAAGCAATTGTGTAGTATCAGTCAACACTAAAAACATATATACAAGTAACCTATGAGCTGATTAGGTTACCTTTAAGAAAGAAGTATATATGTATACAGTAATTAGATATGTGCAAGGCTATGAATTTGAAGGATATTTGGGAATAGCTAATGGAGGAGTTTGGAGGGAGGAAAGGGAATGGAAATTGTGGGCTGAGTTTTTCACTGCCTATAGCTACTCCCAAGTAATCCCTCAGAAATATAATAGTATTTGTAAATACTTGGCCAATAGCTCAGCTTATTGTTAACTAGCTCTTCCATATTAAATTAATCCGTATTTCTTATCAACATTCTACCATGTAGATCATGGCTTGTTACCTCATTTTGTATACATCCTGCATTCTGTGTGTCTGGCAGATAAAACCTCTAACACCACCCTTCTTAATCCCAGCATTCTTCCTAGGATTGTCCTACATTTACTTACTTACTGGCTACTGGCCAGTCAGCTTTTTATTATAGCAATTTTACAATGTACAAAACTATTATTCCACAGCAGAAAATTAGTTTATTTAGGATATCAAAATTAAAATAAAAATGTATGTAAATATCCACATTGATTACCCATAAAAGGAAAGCAGTGAATATAAATATTTATACACCTAAAACTCAACATCTAAACTATAATGGACAATTGACACCTAAGAATATAATTTGAAACATGTTTGTCAAAATGCTATCCATTAGTGATAATTTCTGTATTTCAAACTCTAGTTATTAATATAACTTACAAGCCCAGCTTCTTTCTGGTTAATTTTACTAAAAAACACTATGAAAGAAGGAGTGGTGCCTGATACTTGTAATTCTAGTACAAAAAAAGTAGAGGCAGGAGGATTGCTGTGAGTTATACAAACAAAGAGTAAAGGCCTTGGGGAGGAATATGTTCAACACAAAACCCATACTTGCATAAAAATATTTTAAAATAAAAAAGCAAATTAAAAAAAGAAGAAAAATATTGGAATAATGATGCTTAACAACTAAAATTTTGGTTCTCTAGACAAATCTGACAAATGAGTACATTATTATTATTATTGTTGTTGTTGTTTGTTGTTGTTGTTATTATTATTATACTATAAATTTGAAATTCCACTCTAATTGTAAAATATTCCCAAGGGGAAAAATCAAGTTAAGTATTCCAGCTTTAAAATTTAGAGAAATTATCAGCAGCAAATGTCATTGGTCTTGGAGGGGAAAATTCAATGAAAGTACCATTTTTCAACTCTGCCTTTCCTCACTTTAATAATAGTTCAAATGATAAAAAAATAGTTACGTCAAAAATCTAAGGCAAGTAAATTAATATAATCTTTCCCTAGTTATCAAGTGTCAGATTTTCTGAAAACTTGTGATAATAGGATCCATTTTAGCTATTCATCTTAATACAGATAACAATGCAGTTAAAAAGATGTAAAAAGGGAATTAGTTGGATCAAAGGTAATTTATATTATTAAAATAGATTTCTAAATTGAAAAGTTCTTAACCAAAGTTATAGATGAGAAAATACAATTGTCATAAACTCATGGTCAAGGATGACTAATAAGTGCTCTCAGAAGTTCTGCATTTCACTTTCAAAAAGTTCAAATCTCTGAGAAAATTGCTAATAATATTAATATTATTTAAGAAGTTATTAATACGTATCAGTGGATTCAATGTTCACAATGGCTGGTAAACTTACATTGTTTTGTTGTATTACAACCAACCTTGTGGTGACTCATTATTTATTATAAGTAGTTAGTATTTTAAGCTGTCATTATGTTAATCTGTTAAAGAATAATATTATAATTCCTACTCTCATCAAAACATTATTTCATTCTTTAATTTTGCATTTATATTACTCATAATATTAAATTATTAATTTATTATTTCTTGAGTAAATGTTTATTGTTTATTTATATTTACCCAATCCTTTGTTTTTTCTCTATTCTTCCTTTTAATTCCTTGCTTGGGACTGAAAATATTGCATATTTACTCATGCATTACTTACAGAATTGTGTATATTGAATGACTCATGTTCCACTTAGTGTGCTTGCACATTTTTTTTCTGAGAAATTCCTTTATCTGGTTATCTTGATCTGCTTTGGGATCTGAATGACTGACTAAACAATGGGGTAAATTTTAGTATATATATTTTCTCTGGTAAACATAGGCTTGTTGTTTGAAAGTTTCCAAAAGAGAA